ACTTCTTCAGTCTCCTCATGATGAGACATTGTTCTTCATTCATTTTGTGAACGCATCTCCACAGAAGTTTCAGCTGTGTTTAGTGATCTTCGGGTGTGATTTGGGTAAAAATTTCCCCACATGCTGCAAACATGTGACTCCTCTCCAGAGTTCTTAAGTGCTTTGACCATGACCCAGAACTGACATGTCTCCTACTTGTTTTTAAAACACAAGGCTACTTGACTGTGTGAGATCTTATATGCCTTTTTACTTGAGACACATCTGCAGGTCTTGGAGAGTTATGACTTCTCACCTGTGTGGATTCTCATGTGGGTCGTCAGGCTACTTTTACATCTCAAAGCTTTCTCACATGTTGTGCAAGTAAATGGCTTCTCACCTGTGTGGATTGTGTGTGATGTTTGAAATGTTACTCTGATCGTCAGTGTGACAAAAGAAATCCTGTGCTAACAATGTTATCGTTTTTTTAAACTTTACTAAAATCATTAAGGTTTCATTTTCTAAAGTCAGCTGCTGTAGTGTACCTCCTCTAAATGTGGTCCGGCCAAACTGAGCTCTGGCCAACCTGCACTCTGATCGCGGTGGCTTCTGCGTGCATCTACACCTGCAGTAACATTGCATTTTTCCTCATTCAGTCTACAGGCACAGATCACAGATGTGACAGGCACAAGGTAAAAACAGTTTTTCCCACATTCTGGTGTCACTGTTGACAAGTTGCTCATATGCATCAAAGAACACGGTGTCTGCAGATATAACCAAATTTCAGACTTTTTAAGACATTTTTGATGCCTCCTTATATGGAATTTAAAACCATCTCATGGCTACTTATTGCAGTAATAAAAGAAATACAGCAAGGAAAAAAAAATTTTTTCTTTGATCTGTACAATGATTGTAAACTGTCATTGGGTCTGTCAGGCTGGCGATTTTTTCACAGTAATGTGACCAAAGATATTTAAGACCCATTGAATCTGAATTTAAGAGAGTTTAAGACTTTTAAGGCCTTATATTAAGAAAACTTAATGTAAGACATTTCAAAGGACCTGTAGACACCCTGACAAAAGATCACAACAACAGGACAAATCTTCTGGGATCAGTTTATTACTGTGCTCACTGCAAAATCACTCATACTTTTAATTACAGGTTCCGCTCACATTTTCATGGACAATATTTCCAAACTTTTTCATGACTTTTCAAGGACTCTTCATGAAGAATTTTCTTTTTCTTTCCCCACTTGCCCGCCGTTTTTCAAACATCAGATTCAAACTCTATGTAAACATAATTGGCACACAGGAAGGGAGAGACAAACTGAGGGAGAAAATGACAAAACACACCTGATGGTAAACAAACATTGTCACACATCGACG